ATTTTACAACTTTTCTTGCCACATTTGTTAAGTAAATCATTGCAATTATTAAATTAGTAAACATAGTTGTTAAGTGAACCCAGGTTTCCCATTGACTTTGCCTGTCAAAAGGTCACAAAAGGGGATCACATGACTCTGGGACACTGCAACCATCATAAATGTGAGTCAGTTGTCAAGCATCCGAATGTAAATCACGTGATCACGAGGAATTCTACAACGGTCATAAGTGACAAAAATGGTCATAAGTCACTTTTTTCAGTGCCGTGTTAACTTTGAACCGTCACTAAATGAACTGTTGTAAGTCGAGGACTACCTGTACTTTATAGAAATTATAAATAAGTCTCCCAATTCCACTAGGGAGCCCACAAAATATACTAAGCAGTGGGTGTGTTGTAAAGAACAGAGACCCAGAGGACTGAAAAATCAAAACATACTCATATGCATATATCCCAAGCAAAATTCTCTGACTGCTGAAATACAGCTTGTCAAATTATTATGTCAGGCCTCTACGACAATTCTAATAACTATTCCAAGCAACCCTCTGCATGTTCTGAGTTGCATTGCAAATACCAATGTCTTTGAAACCCTTGTTTTTATTTGTTGGGGAAAGTGATTCTAATCCTTGCAAAGGCCTACTGAATCTCTTGCCCCTTGCATGGTCAGGCCAGATATGTCAATATATAGAATATTCTTTATTTGCAAAAATGAATAAATGAAGCAAAATTCACTTTAAATGGAAACCGAAACTGTCCTTCTCACAGGAGATTTACATTGGTGTATTTGTTTTTCTCACAGAAGATTTACTCAGCCTTCCATCCTTCTGAGGTGGGTAAAATGAGGACCCAGATTGTTGTTATTTATGCTGACTCTGTATACTGCTTAGAGAGGGCTGTAAAGCACTGTGAAGCAATATATAAGTCTAAGTGCTATTGCTATTTATATTGGTTTATTTATCTATATTGCATGGTTGTCCAACCTTTTAAGCTGCCTGGGCTGTATTGAGTGAGGAGGAATTTGCTTTGGGCCACATATAATATATATAATATAGTTAACATATATAAATAACAAGCTTCCTTTATTTTTTAATTATCTTGTTCAAAATACTAGCTGTTCAAAACTGCATGAAGCCCATGCACTGCGGGTTGGTCTACTATATATCCCTCATTAAAAACTCTAGAATTATTACCCAATGTCCTCACAGTTGTATATCTAAAATGGGAATAAAGGGATAATAGGGTTTAGAAAATACAATAAACAAGATTGGATTTTTCCCCCCAATTTCTTTTGAATATTAAATAGGCTGCATAATGACGTACAAGAGAACAAATTTGAAATGTTTGATAAAGATGTTCTTGTTTATATAGACGGAGATCCCTCCTGAGAGCCATGTGGTTCCCATACTGATGGCATTTTGGATGGCATTGAAGATCTAGTATTACTCCTCCGAAGCCTAGGGGTAATGAAGTTGTTTTTTGGATCTTACATTGAGTGTCCAGATTCTATCTTCTCTATTTATTTTGCACTCTGTTTTAATCTTGATTTGCTAAATGATAAGCTATCCAGAGATGACACTTAAATCAGGCCAAATAAATAAGTAAATATTGGGATCATCTGCATGTATAAGTTACACTCTCTCAGGAGAATGGCTTGGGTCTCTAGGAGGACAGTTAAAAAGAAGCTCTTTGATCCGATCTCAAAATGTTACGATGCTTTTAAAAAAAATTGTGATAGTTCTGTGGATCTTAATTATGCGTATCATTTTGTTTATATTCCATAGTTTTTTCTATTTGTATATTATAAACTATCTTGATTGTCCATTGGATGGAATGGCAGAGTATTAATGAATGAATTAACAAATAATATTATTTAGCTGAGAATATGTTCTACTCAATTCAACTAGACTTACTTTAAATAGATGGATAAGATTATATGGTAAGGATACAATATCATATACAGTAAATTTATGAAGAAAGAATCTATTGTACTCAGTAGGGCTTTCTGGACTTTTTTTGAGGGGGGGAATGATGAAATAAAGACAGCTCTGCTAAAAAATCTGAAGATTAAGCAAAATGAAAAATCAATGAGTAGACCGACTCTTCATCATCCCTCTCCAGAAAAAGAGAGCACATAAGATCACTCACAAGTGCTCCATACAGAACAGAAGTCTCCAATGGCTTTAAAAAATAACTATCTGGCTTACCACACGGTTGGCACCTTTAAGACCAGTCAGTTCTTGTAAGTCCTTTTCTAATCACTTTCAGAAATTGTTTAACTGCATTTTAAGATATTAGGAACCTTTGGATTGACAAGTCAGAAAAATTGGCTATGAGCTTCCTTTAATCCTTAATGAAATAAGTTTTAAATGCAAGGATCTTTTCAAAAATTCTGGAATAAACAGTTACAGTTTTGATTTTAGTTAGAAAGTCCAGATAAATTTGAAATAAGTTTCTGGAATTATAAGAATCCTTCCTGTGGGAAAATACTGTTGCTTTGATTAAAAAAAAAAAAACAGAATAGATTGGGACTTTAAAGGTAAAATTCTTGAGAAAGCACAATGATTACTATTAAAGGAGAACACTTACCGGTACATTTGATTTACAATACAGAATGGAGCAAAATGTTTTAAGATTCAACCTACTGAGGGGTATTTTTAAACAATGGACCCAGAAATTAATTTTAAGGGTGTTTACCTGCATAGATAGATTGCATTTATATGTAAGAGGAACAAAATACTCAAAGTGGGATAAAAATAAATGAATAAATTTTACCAGTGGACTGATTTGAAAGTGGATTTTAAAATGTCAAGCTACAAGAGTGATATGGGAAAAGATGCTGCACTGCACATACAAAAGAAACTGGCTGATAGCTTAATAATTAAAAGGGATATGCAAATAAACCAAGACAGGGATCTGGATGATCTTCCTATATTGGATTTATAAAAGAAACTTGTTCAATCTTTGAACAACTTTGTGAAAAGGGACAAAGAAAAAAATAAAAAGAAATAAACTTTTAGGCCACTATCAATATTGTTACAAGTAAAAGGGAAGAATATAAAGTCGGTTTAGTTGATCAAGACTAAAATAGATATGTTGTTATCACTGGTAACCCGTAGTGGGCTTTTGCTGATCAGGACTGAAATGACTAGGTTTTAAACTATTTGTTTATAAATAAGAGATGCAATATGAGAGGAAGACATCATGTGCTGCATTTTAAAGGGATAATCACTAAAAATGTTTATACTTGTGATAAAAGGGAAAGTTATTTCTTTATTATTTCTTTTATTTTTCTTTAATATGTTGTTATTTTTCTCTCTTTTCTATTTCCTTTTTCTTCTCTACACCTTTTTTTTCTTTTCATTTTTTAATATGTATTAAATTGTATTAAAATGTATTAAATTGTATTAAAAATGTTTTTATCACTGTAGTTGTAATGTTTAATAACATTACTATTTGAAAAAGAACTCAGGATTTTTCTATCAGAACAACATTACACTGCTAGAATCTAGTCTAGAATTTGCTGTTTATGGTCTAATGATTAAATAATACAAATCAAATGATTTGAGATACCCTAATTAAGTTATCCATACTTTTTTAGTAAATCACAAATGTATTTTTTCTTCTTAGAACAGTCATTTAGAATAAAAACCTTAAAGTCTCCCATAATATCACTTGCCATATAAAAATCTTTAGCATTTTTATTACTAAAAACAAACAGTGATAGTGGAAATAATTTTTCTGAAGCATTTTTTTTACATTCAGGTAATTGTGTTTCAGACAAAATCTTTTGGCTCACATAGTATTGCACTATAAAAGGAAATAATGCCTAAAGGACAGCTGTAACTACAAGCCATGTTCCTATGAAGTCACAAGGAATGCCACCTGAATGAAATGCCACCTGGTATGAATGAAACAGCACACTGGAGCATCTCCGGTAGGCCTCTTTTTGCTTTTGCTTCATGTGTGCAAAATGGGCAAAGTTTTCCAACCCGATTATCCCAAAAATATCAAGGAAAATGGCACCGTCCTTCTGCCTGCTAATTAGCAAATCTACACACATTTCTCGATGACAAGGTTAGAAACAAATGCTGGAAACAAAGTCAATGGTGAAGCCAAGGCAACCAGGAGTAAGGTTGCTGCTTTACAGAAGGGCAGAACAGGATGAGTGAGAAAGACCAAAAAGGGGGGAGTGGAGAGGGCTGTTGAGAAGATCTACACTACAGCAACCATCTGGAAGTCAAGGACATCTACTGAGGAACCTCAAGACGGATACCTTGGCAGTTGGCACACATTTTCCAGCTGTTTCAAGCTCCTTCTCAGTGCCTCCTAAGAATCAAGAGTTCTAAAGCTGCCAGCTAGAAATATTTTAGGGGTAACCCCCCCCCCCAAAAAACCCCTCTATTTCAGATCATCTGCCTCCAGCTTGGAGAGTCTGCAGCAGCGGGTTTAAAGGACGCCTGGAGCTAATGCATGGAAAAAGCCGGTCACTTCCTCTTCAACCGACTCAGTTCCACCGCCGCTTACTTCTCCCTGCAACGATCCCATCTTCCCTTGCTTGCCCTCTTTCTTTCTTTCTGTCTGTCTGTCTTTTTCTTTCTTTCTTTCTTTCTTTCTTTCTTTCTTTCTTTCTTTCTTTTTCTTTCTTTCTTTCTTTTCTTCTTTCTTTCTTTCTTTCTTTCTTTCTTTCTTTCTTTCTTCTTTCTTTCTTTCCTTCTTTCTTTCTTTCTTTCTTTCTTTCCTTCTTCTTTCTTTCTTCTTTTCTTTCTTTCTTTCTTTCTTTCTTTCTTTCTTTCTTTCTTTCCTCCCGCCTCGCCCGGTCCCTTCTCGTCTTTTACATCCCGGGATCCCTGTAACCTTTTTTTCCCCTTTAGACGCCCCTGGATCTCTCTCCATCCTTTCCTTCCCTCCCCATTTCCTCCGACTTTGGGGAAACTTGCTCCGCTGGCGGAGGCGAGCGGGCAGCAAAAGCGACGAGGTTCACCTGCCGCCGAGATGCGCTCGTACCTCGAAAAGCTGCGGGATCTCCCTCCTGGTCAGGTAGTCTTTGGCGTCGCAGCTGCTCATGCCGCCTGGCGGAGAAAAGGGCGACGGCGCGCGATTGGGGTTGCTTGGTTAGCGCTTTGGAGCCCGGTTCTTCCTCGGCTCTGGTCCTTCCCTCTTCGCCCCAGCGCTCCGGTCCTCGTCCGTTGCAAAAAACCGCTCGCTTTTGGAAGGCGAGGCGATCAGAGAGAAGCAGCAGCAGCAGCAGCAGCAGCGCCTCCGCTTCCTCGCCCGAGCTGCCTTTACCCTCCCAGCCCAACCCGCGCGCCGCCAGTCAAGCTGGGGCTGCTGGGGGGTGGGAGGTGGGAGTGGGTGGCTGCTCTGGAAAGGCGCCGGGGAGGGAGGAGACTGGCTCCAAATCGCACGATCGCGCTTTTCTGTACACGCATAAACAGACATACATACATACACACACGCGCCGGCACGTGGCGCTCCTTAAAAAGAAAGACAGGCGGCGATCGAACCGGTCGCTCGTGGCTTTCCACGGAGGGAGCGTGTGCCCTTAGAGTGTGGACACGATGCCGTCCCCGAAAGCCTTCCCCGATCGGCGCCCACGATCGCCGGCCCTTTTGCAAAGTTTACCGCGCTACGAAGCCCAAGATTTCTGCAACCTCACGCTCGGCCTTCGCGCCCGGCGGCTGATCTCGGGCTTCTCCCGCTCGCACGGAGTACAGGAACGCGGGGTGCGTGGACCTTCGTGCTTTCCGAACTGCCCTAAAGACGTTTTTGTTTCATCAAGCCGGGCTCGCCTGACCTACTCTTTTTAAAAAGAATTGTTTTTTTAAAAAATTAGGGGTTTTAATATAGGGTTTTTAACTACGGGCCAAATTGATTTAATTGGATTTTAATATTGGTTTAAATTTTGTATCTGTGTATTTTATTTGCTGGCTGTTCACCGCCCCAGTCCCTCGGGAGAGGGGGCGGTATATAAATATAATAAACTATAACTATCTGGATTGAAGGCAAGGCTGAGGGAGAAGATTCCTAAAAGGGCGATCCTTCATTCCGTGGGGTGTGTGGAGAGTGCCAGCAGGATTGCCAAGGGGAAGATCCACTTAATGAGCCAAATTAAATATTTAGACACACACACAAAATGCCCATATTATTGAAGGAAGTCTCAACATCTCAAGTTTAGCTGCTTATTTATCGAATTTATTTAGCCACCTATATCACAGACCTGACCCTGGGTGGCATATGATAAAACAACCAGTTAAATACAAATACAAAGCAAGGAGGAAAAACAATTTAGATACAAATATAAATGAGACTATAGGAGAATGGACCAAGGTCTAATCATCTTGTGGGGCCCCTTTTTTTCTAGTATCCCCACTGTTGGAAGAACCATGTTTTGAAGTATTTCCTAAATGCCTACATCTGTTCACCAGGCTCAAGGTTGACTCAGCCTTCCATCCTTCCGAGGTGGGTAAAATGAGGACCCAAACTGTTGGGGGCAATATGCTGAGACTAAACTGCTTAGAGAGGGCTGTAAAGCAGTATATAAGTCTAAGTGCTATTGCTATCTAGCTACTCTCACCTGGGGTGGGGAATGATGCTGCAGAGTGCTACAGCAGAAAAGGTCCATCTCCTGATCCTGCCAGATGAAATTTTAGCACACAGGATGCCTAACATACCCTTCCTTGCTAGACCTGATGGGACAGGTAAATTTAGCCAAGTGGACCCTCAACTAAACTGATTCCATACCATGTATGATTTTATAGGTCAAAAAAGCACCTTGAATTGAACTCGGAAGCAAACTATATAATGCAGCAACGGAACTAAATAACTAAATAATGCAGCAATGGGACAGAAGTATAACGTGTGCCATTCTAGGGGCACACATAAGTGCTCCACACTGCCACATTTTGTATCAGTTGAAGCTTCTGGATGCAACATTATGTAGCATATAGTACAGTACAGGTAGTCTTCAACATACAACAGTTCGTTAGTAACTGTTTGAAGTTACAACGACACTGAAAAGTAACATGATCATTTTTCACACTGACGAGCATTGCAGCATCCCCATGGTCATGTGATTTAGATTCAGATGCTTGATAGATGATTCATATTTATGACGATTGCAGTGTTGCACAGTCATGTGATCACCTTTTGTGACCTCCTGACAAAAGTCCATGAGATAGCCAGATTCACTTAACAACAGTGTTACTAATTTAACAACTGCTGCAGTGAGTTACTTAACAAATGTGGCAAGAAAAGTCGTAAAATGAGCAAAACTCAAATTTAACAAATATCTCACTTAGCAATATAAATTTTGGGCTCAAATGTAAGTTGAAGACTACCAGTAGTCCATTTGGGAGGGGGACCAGGGCATAAATAACTGTGATCCACACAATCCAGGAGTGTGTGCAACTGGTACACAACATGAAGCTTTCAAACCGTTAGGAAGGGGCTGGATTTTGTGGGTCTATGACAGTTCGCTGCAGTCAACTCGCTGCAGTCAACTCACTATGGGCAACTCACCATGGGCAACTCGCTGCAGGACAAGAGTTAAATTGATATCAAAGAAATGGTGGAATAGAATCGTTAGAGAAAGGATGCAAAAGAAGGGACAGAATGAAATGTGAATGGCAAAAATTAAAATAACTATTTTAAATAATTAAATAGAATTGTTAAATTTCTCATGGCGAGTTGTCCCATGGCAAATTGGCCGTAGCAAATTGTTCTGCAGCAAGTTGGTTGTGGCAAGTTGTCCCATTCCTGGATTTTGCTGTCATCTTATATTTATGGAAAGGAAAGAGTGTCATTAAATTCACCCTGTCTTGCTTCTGGACAGATAATAGAATTAACTTTTGTCCTGCCGTCCCATTGATCTCTGCTTTTCCTTGAACTTTTCTTTCAGAATGATTAATTTCAGATTGCTCCCCTGCTTTGTCTTGTAAATCACATCCAACAGTTCTTGCATACAGAACATCTTTAGTCCTTTGTTCATACGGAATTTTCAGCAGTAGCAGAATGCTGGCCACCAAAGTGTGTCCCTTGATCATCAATTTCAATAGTTTTTTTTTACTGATCCTTCAAGTTCTGGAAAGCATCACTTTTTCTGTTTCCTGCTGACATGGTCTTGCCACAACAAAAGGGAAGGAGGAAAAAAAATGTATCACCATTTTTTTCCCAGATAAGTGACTTGGAGATGTGGCAAGTTGTAGTCATGCATCCTTTCTTCTGATCTCCTGACCCTTCACAGGTTAGTTATACCCCTGTGCAGAAGACCTGCTGATATGGCTCAACTACGTTAGAATCTTGAATATAGGCAAGATTGAATCCATACACAGCTGTTGATTTTCTCATTGAATTTGCAGGAGGAAATGAAAAAAAAAAAAGTTACAGCCATGGAGTTTAAACTTCTTGTGTCTTTCTTCTGACTTTCTAAATTACCATGAATTTGGCATGGTGCTTGGTAGACAAATGCTGTAGTTGTTCCTTTTGGAGTAATCTTTGACTAGGAACCACTAGTTCCTCTCACAATATCAGTTGTGCTGTTAACTACATATTAACTAATTACTGGCCTGAAAATGTTTGCAACCAAGGCATGAGGACAAGGCTCTGCTTAGCAAATGTCAAGCCCCAATGTAGCTGGCAAGATCAAGAATGAAGGACTGCACCCTTTTCACAAAGCTATCTTTAATACTAGCCCTGGATAAGTACAAAATCTTGGAAACTGCAATAAGAATTTCCAACCTCTTTTATAGTGAGTTAATTAAGGCAAAATATCTCTGAATACTTTGAAACCATTTTCCCCCCAGATTGCTTCCCACCTGGGCTGATTTGCCCTTTTGTAAAATAATCTGTCAACTGACTCATCCACTATTAACTCTTCCTTTCTTTCTCCAGACGCCTCATAAGTCTCTCCCAGCAAGACACTATAAAGGAGAAACAATTCAGGGGTGTCAAACTGGTGGCCTTGAGCACCAGATGCATCATGTTTAGGCCACACCCACCCCATCTCTGTGAAGGGGAAAAACATCGTGAAACGTCATGTGACGGCAATGTGACGCTGCGAGTTGGACGTCTGTGATCTAGATCATCCCATTTATGGCCAGAATTCCCAACATGGTGAGTCCAGAGTGGTATTAAACCATAGTGAGGAAAGGTCCTGAGACAGAATTATCATATGTCTCAAGATGGCGACCATAGATCAGGGCTGGTATTCAGCCAGTTCTATCCAGTTTGGGAAAACTGGTAGCAGTGATGGGAGGCTCCGCCCACCCACCCAGACGTAGTCAAGTCCCGTTTTTGACACACGCGTGCTCACATTTGCGAACCGATAGTGAAGGTAAGTGAATACCACCCCTGCCATAGATGGTAATGAGCTGAACTGAATTTAAAAGTGAAAGATTTTTTCTTCTTCCGCAGCCCGTATTTTGTCTGCTGTCAGAATTCTCATTTCAAAGAAGTGGACTGTTTGCATATTAAATACCATTTTCTCCCCTGCCATCCCTAAATATGAGGTTGATGATTTCTCCTTGCTATAAATTAATTCACTTACCCTCTTCCTATATAATAACCAGGGAACAACTACAATGCATACAATCTTTCTGCAATAAGCTTCCAGTCTCTGTGTGATACTACTAGCTCCATTTCAAAGCACGGATATGTCTTTCTCAATCTTTTTATCCAGGAAATAAGAGAGCCAGTTGGTGTAGTGGTTAAGGCATCAGGCTAGAAGCTGGGAGACTTGAGTCTACTCCCACTTAGACACAAAGCGAGCTGGAAATCTTGGCCCAGTCACTTTCTCTCAATCCTAGGAAGGAGCCAATGACAAACAACTTCTGAAAAACCTTGCCAAGAAAACTGCAGGGACTTGTCCAAGCAGTCTCTGAGAACTGGACACTATTGAACAGAAATAAAATGAAACCCTTGAAATAATTTTCACAAATCAATAGGAATCTTTGCATCCAAATTATTATATGTGTACTGTAGCTTACGGAATTTTTTTTTCCCCATTCCAATTTCTCCTCCAGGTGAAAAAGGCTGATGTAGATGAAAAACTAAATACATTACCAAGGCTAAACTATTTGTATTGATTTGGGGAGAAAATATTCTTTCATTTAGGAGATATAATAAAAATTACCTTTCAAATCACCTTCTACACCTTGTTTCTTTTAAAGACACAGGATTTAATTTTAAACAGTAGTAATGCTACCGATGATCACTGGTCAATGGTAATCCATCACCATAGTATACCATGTTTGTTTCTGAGAACTTGAATTTCTCCTCTTCCCCCTAAAAAAAAATATATCCTAAATTTTAAATACAGGTAGTCCTCATTTAGCAGCCATCTAGAGTAGTGATGGTGATCAAAATGTAATTTTGCAGCCAATCCTCACATCTGCTACTTTTGTAGTAGTCTATAAAGCAAAGGAAAGCTGAAGTAAGATCATAAACACAATTTCAGTTTCACTTAGCCACCACTTCATTTAACAATTGAATTCCCAGTCCCAATTCTGGTTGCTAAACAAGGAGTACCTGTGCTGGATGTTAGATAAGATATTAGATAAGGTGGGATGGGATAAGCTTTATT